AAAAAAAAAAAAAAAAAAGAAAGAAAAGAAAAGAAAAGAAAAAGAAAAAAGCTGATCAGTAAAAGAAGGCAAAAATATTAGTCTGATGACACAAAGTATTAGTAAGGATGTCAGAAAATGGCGTCTCAATGCCAGTGGTCTGTAATTCCTGGTTAAGAAGATGCACCCTGGGCTTGGGATGTAGCTCAGGGGCGTGAGGCCCTGAGTTTGATTCCTGGTACCAAAAATGAAAAGAGAAAAAAAAAGGAAAAAAGACCAAAAAACCCCCCACATACCCTACTACCCAGTAAATCTATTAGTAGGTGTACTTCTAGAGAAACTTCCTAATGTGTGCACCGCAGACAATTAGATTTACTGCGAGACTCTTCTTAGGACTCAAAAACTGGAAACAATTTTAAAGTTTATTAATAGAGGAGTGTATGCATAAATTATGGTATATTCATACATACAGTGCAATTCTATACCAGCAATTAAAATGAACCAAGAAAAGCAGATTCACTTTACTAACATATAAATCTCAAAATGCAATGCTGAGTGAACAAAGCAAGCTGCAGAAAGACATATATAGTTTAACACCATTAAAGCTTAAGAACCGGTAATATATGTTTATAGATTCACATCACTATTGGATGAAATATGCAAGAAAATCATTTACCCAAACCTGAACACCGTGGCTACCTTTAGGAGGAGGAACTGAGAGGAACTTCAAAAATCTTTTGTTGTTTTAAGGATTTGAAGTAAATTTGGCAAAATCATACTCGTAAAACCTAAGTTGTGGATTGGTTAAATACCCCTCTGTGCGTTATATTCAAATTATTCCAGAAATTAAGAGAGAAAAAAGAAAGAAAATTAGGTAAGCATAAGGAATTTGAGCAGAAAAGACATCAAAATGCAGCCCCTCAGCGCCAAGCAAGCATCCTTGAGGGAACGCGGCAGCAGGTGAACCCCTAAACGTTCGAAGTTTCTGTCCCCAAGTACCTCTATAATTCCATTTTCATTAAAATAAAATGGAAATTTGCAACAAAAAATGTATTAATTAGGGCAGTACTTATGTGGAAACTGCTCCAGTGGCAGAGTGGTAAAATCTGTAAGATTTTACCTTGTTTTCCTTGCCAGGAAATTGGGCAGAATCAGATTTATGTGAATGCCCTAAAACACCCTATGAACCACACAGCCCCAATGCACAGGGACCTCCACGATGTATTCACCAGATAGCGTGGAAAAATATTTTGCAAACAGCTTTTGGAGTCTAGGGCACCTGTGGAAAAGGTACCCAATCGTAAACACCTCTGCTCCACTGAAGTCTCTGGTCCCCCATCAGTACCAGAGCAGGATGGCCGGAGGGTCCACAATGACGTAGCCCACACTGCAGCTGCCAGGCCCGCGGGCGCCCTCCCCTCGCCCTGCGCTTCTGGGGAGGGAGGGAGCGGAGCTCAGCGGGGGCGCCAGGCTGGACCGGGGCCAGGCTGTGTCCCCTCCCGGTCCCGTTCCTCGAGGAAGGCACCGGCCCTGGGACCAGGACGCCGGTTCTCCCAAAAATAGGTGGCGAGGACGTAGGAAACTCACACACGAGCTACGACGCAGGGGAAGCGGACCCCTGCGCAGCGCACGCTCGGGAACACGCAGGATGCACACGCGAGACCCTGCACGCAGCAGCAGGGGTCGCAGCAGCAGGGGTCGCAGCAGCAGGTGACGCGGCCAAGCGATGCGGGGGATGCGCACCCCGTGGAGGAGGGCAGGGACACGAGGGGGCCACCCACGCCGCCCCCGGGAAAGGGGACCAACGGCACAAAGGCAACAAGCAAGGAACAGGCGGCCGCGCGCTCAGACCCAGGGCTCCTGCGGCCGGCCGGGTGTTA